TGGCTCAAGCCTTTAATCCCAGCACTTAGGAGGCAGAAGTGGGAGTTTGAGGCCAGCCTGGTTTATATAGTAAGTTCCAGGCCAGCCTGAGATATATAGTGAGATCTTGTTTCAAAACAGTGACAAAAATGAATAGAAAAAAACTCCATACCCATACACTTGAAATTTTAAAAAATATTTCTGTATTCCCAAGTCAAAGAAAGTATAATGGAAATCAGGTAATAAGTATTTTCTTTCTTTTTTTTTTTTTGGCTTTTTGAGACAGGGTCTCCCTGTCGCCACAGCTAGCCTGTAACTCGCTATTGAGACCAGGCTGGCCTTGAACTCACAGAGATCCACCTGCCTCCGCCTCCCTAGTGCTAGGATTAAAGGTATGTGCCACCACGCCTGGCTATAATAAGTATTTTCATAGAAGAGTTTGTGGGGCAATTTAAGCAGTGGTAAGAAAAAGATTATAGCTTTAAATGTTCACATTAGTAATGGAGAAAGTCACAGAGTTAATGGGGGATAGAATTGGTACTGCATTTCAACAAAGGAAAAGGAGGGAAATCATAAGAGAAAGTAATGAAATAGAACATAAACATGTAACAGAATCCACAGAGACAGAAGTTAGTAGTTAAAAAAAAAAGTCATAAAAAGGCCTTAGCTGGCAGGATTCAGTCAGTGCCTCCCCTCCCCCTTTAAGAGTGTGAGGTGGATTGACATAGGGCTTCATTCAAGATAGGCAATCACTGTACCACTGCCTGAATCCCCAGTTCTCTTTTTACTTTTTATTTTGAGGCAGTGTCCTCAGCTGAGTTGCACAAGTTAGTCTTGAATTTAACTCTGTAGCCCAGGCAGGCCTATAACTTGTAGTCTTTCTGCCTTGGCTTCCCAAGTAGTTGAGATTACTGTGCTCTAAGGCCCCACTAATTCTTTAAAAATTAGAAAGGAAAGGCTGAGTTAAGAATGAACAACTTTTAAGCTGGACAAGGTGGCACAAGCCTTTAAAACCAGCACCTGGGAGGCAGAGTCAGGCAGATCTCTGTTGAGTTCAAGGCTAGCCTGGTCTACATAGTGAGTTCCAGGCCAGCTGGGGCTACAGGGAGACCCTGTATCAAAAAGCAAAAAAACAGAAAAAGAAAACGAAACAAAAGAATGAACAACTTTTGCTTTGCTGCAGATTCTGCTAACACAAGGAGAGACTTTTTGATTATTATTTTATGTCTATGCATGTAAGTGCACCTGTGTTGTGCAATGCTTGAAGAGGTCAGAAGAGGGCATCAGATTCCCCTGGAACTGAAGTTAAGAATGCTTATTAACTACCATGTGGGTGCTGGAAATTGAACCTGGGTCCTCTGCAAGAACAGCCAGTGTTCTTAACCGCTGAGCCATCTCTCCAGCCACTGGAAACATTTTAAAACATCAATCAGAGGAGATGCTAAAGAATAATAGAAAACTTAGGTGGGTGTGGTGATTCACATCTGTAATTCTGGTATGTAGGAGGATCTAGTGAGTTCCAGTCTAGAACCACAGGAGACCTTGTCTTGCCATCCCCTCCCCAAAGGAAGAAAATATAAGCAGAGATAGGCTAATTACTATGGAAGAAATTGGAAAAGTACTTGCACCTCCCTCCAAAATCCACCCAGAGGGTTTTATTGGCAAGTTCTAATAGCATTCAGAAACAGATCCACTTTTGCCCAAACTCCTTCAAAGAACAGAAGAATAGGAACTGTTTCTACTAATTTCCGGAGATTAGGGTAACTGTAACACCAGGCTAGACAAAGAGTACAGTGTGGATACAACTATTTCAGGCCAGTACCACTTATGAATATTGATGTATTGGAAAGAAATATAAGCCAGGAAACTTTAATAAGATATAGAGTATATTAATGGAAAAACTTCTTTAAGAACGAAGTCATTAGAAAATTTGTTAGTGTGCCATATTTTAAAGATTAAAACAGAAATGTGTTATCTTCATAAAGGCAGAAACATTTTACATCCATCAGCCTTTCACTGAAGAATTCTTGGCCAACTTAGAATAATGGGAAATGCTAATAACCGAAAAAGGGGATTCTAAATGGAGAAAAGCCTGGGGCTGGGGAGATAGTTTGGCAGCCCGCTTGCCAGTTACTTTCTGGATCCTCAGTACTCATGTAAAAGTCTGGGCATGGTGGCTTGTGTCTTGTATCTGTAATCCCAGTGCAGGGTATGGGGTGAAGACAAGCAAATCCCAGAGACTCATTGTTTAGCAAGCCTATCTCATTCAGTGAGTTCCAGGCCCAGTGAAAGACCCTGTTTCAAAAAACCTGGGTAAGAGCAATTGAAGAAGATACCTTGTATCCTCCTCATCTGCTCACCCCATCTCTGGTCTCCTTATGCATGTGTATATACACCTACACGTACATGTACACACACATACCCTGAGGAAAAAAAAAAAGGAAAGCTGTAAGGTAACGCTATACTTACTGCTACCATGTTGAAATGTTGTAAGATCAAGTGCAAGACAAAGTAGTGGTGATCAGTCCTGACAGTGACTGGTGATTCTAGCCAGGCAGAGGTAGGCAGAGCTCTGAATTCAAGGCCAGCCTGGTCTACATAGTGAGTTCCAAGCCAGCTAGGCTACAGGGGAGACCCTGTCTCAAAAAGACTTTTAAAAAAAAAATTATTAGAATCATTACTTTCAGTGAGTATTTTTTGTTTTTGATTTTTTTATAATTAAAAAAATATTTTATGTGTATGTGTGTATTGCCTGCATGTAAGTGCACCTATGTTATGCAGTGCCTGAGGAGGACAGGAGAGGATGTCAGATCCCCTGAAACTGGAGTTAGGAGTGGTTGTTTGCTGCCATGTGGGTGCCGGGATTTGAGCTCAGGACTTCTGCAAGAACTGCCAGTGTTCTTAACCACTGAGCCATCTTTCCAACCCCCCCCCCCTTTTTTTTTAAAATCTTTTTTGAGACAGAGTCTCCCAGCTGGCCTGGAATTCACTATATAGACCAGGCTGGCCTCAAACTCACAGAGATCCGCCTGTTTCTGCCTCCCAAGCGCTGGGATTAAAGGGGTGCGCTACCAAGCCTGGCCTGATTTTTTTTTTTTTAATTTTCTATTTTTTAAAGGCAGTCTCATTATGTGGCCCTGGCTAGCTTGGAACTCACTATGTAGACCAGGCTGGCCTGCCTGGAACTCACAGAGATCCATCAGCCTCTGCTTCCTGAGTGCTGGGATTAAAGGTGAGTGCCACTATCATTGAGTACATTTAATTATTACAGTACAGAGTTTGGCAAGATTACTGGATACAAGGATAGTACACAAAATTAAATTGTTTTTCTAAACTGTAAAGGAAGGTGGATGAAAATCTTCTTTTTTTTTTTTTGTCTTTTTTGAGACAGGGTCTCCCTGTAGCCCCAGCTGGCCTGGAACTCACAGAGATCCACCTGCCTCTGCCTCCCGAGTTCTGGGATTACAGGTGTGTGCCACCACGCCCTGCTTAAAGACTCATATCTTATAAGAGGGACTTGTGAATGCCTCATGAATCCATGGAAGGATGCACAAGTTAATTAAGGAGCAAGGAAATGTAAGTCAGACCCATTGTAAAATAATCTTCATACCTACCAGTGTTTGGTATAAATAAAAAAGTAAGATAAACCAGAAAGTTATGAGGGAACTCTCAGGGCAACAGGACATGCTGGAGAGTCATAGACTGTTAGAACCAACCTAGAAATGGTTCTAGCATTACTTGCTGAAAGTGAGGTATCTGGCCAACAGTTGTCATGTGTGCACAAGCACAAAAATGGTGTGAACAATCTATTAATATAATAAATTCTGAAAATAGGCATAGCTAACTAGTATATTGTTTCAAGTCATGATAAACTAAAGGTAAAGGAGGAGACTGGCTAGTGTACATCTCAAGAGTTTGGATGGGGTTGTCATTAGGAGGTCCTTTGTGGTGGCCCTGGAAACATAGCAGTTGGTTTAAACATTTCGTGTCTTCCACAAGAAAGGAGATAGGTGATTTGTTTCATATTTTCACACAATAATTGGAAGATACACAGCCTTGACACTTAACAGATGCACAGAAGTACTTTATTCCCCTCTTAAAAAAGATTTTTTTCCTATATTTTATTTGGGATATGTGTTAGGTGGGGGTGCACATGCCGTAGGTGAGCCTGTGGTGGTCAGAGAGCAACTAGTAAAAGTTGGTTCTTGGAACTGGAGAGATAGATAGCTCAGTGATTAAGAGCATTGGCTGCTCTTCTAGAGGACCAGGCTTCGATCCTCAACATTGACATGGAGGCTGATAGTTGTCTGTAACTCCAGTTGCTGGAGATACAGTGCCATTCTTCTGGCCTCTCTGGATATTACCTGACATGAGTGCACTTACATACATGTAGGCAAAATACTCATACATACACAATTAAAAGAAAAAAAAGTTGGTTCTCCACCATATTGATTGCATACTTAGTGGCAAGCACCTTTACTTGCTGACCCATCTCCCTAGCCCTGTCCCCCTTCTTTTAAAGGCAGTCGTGACCCATGAAATTGACCTTGAAGTGCTTTACTGCTGAAACTGGTATGATAAGCATCCAGCTATCAGCTTTTTGGGGTCACTCATCTGACCCCCCACCCCCATCAGAGAGCAGAACCCATCCAAGGCAGGTGAGAGTGCTGCTGGGGAACCTGGCAGAGTAGGATGGGCCACTAATCTTGTCTGAGTGGGAGCCTGCATTTGGTGGGGGTGAGGTGGGGGAAGTAGACTTGTTCTACAGTGTTTTGGACCCCTGTTAGCCCCTTGTGTGATGGGGAGTATTTACAGGGTCTTTCAGCTGTGTCCTCACTTAGTGGAGGGACTGCCCCCAGTTATCCTGACCTGGTAGGCCCTTGGCTCTAGCTCTGTCCAGTCTTAGTGTGATACAGCACCCAGCAGGGTATTGACTGGTATGTCATACCATCCTTTCCTCTTGTCCCATTTGTTCAAAAATTTCTGAAGTTACTTCTGAGTTCTGACTCTGCCTTCTGCAGGTGCCAAGCCAGCCACCTCTGTAGACCCATGGGGGGTGCCAACCACAGCCAGCACACAGTCTGTGCCCAAGAGTTCTGACCCCTGGGCAGCCTCACAGCAGCCTGCATCCGATGCTGGGAAAACAGCAGATGCCTGGGGAGCTGTCAAGCCTTGCTCTGCCTCAGGTGAGCATGTCACTTAGCCTGGGCCCTGAAGCCTGGCTCCTTGTCCCTCCTAAAATAGTGGCAGAGGCTGGCTTTGTTGACTGCATTTGCTCCCATTTGCTCCCATCTCAGATGGAGCCCTTCTGTGTACCCACATTCCTGATGGGGCACTTGAGAGAGGTGTTGCTGTGGGCTCCCAACCACAGATTCTGGCCTCCTCCATGGGCAGCAGGATGACTTCAGGTACTCCCTGAGGTCACTTCCCACAGCGTCTAACCCAGTGTTCAGACCCAGCTCATATTTGCCCACATTGCTGATCCCTTACCTTTGGAGTGGGATGGTAGAAGCAGTGGCAGGTGATCAGACTCCCTACTTTAAACTTTTCCCTTCCTAGCCCACCAAATGACTGTGCCTGGACTGCCCTCTTTGGCCCCGAGTTCTACAGTACAATATAGGCTACTTGGGAGAAGGTCCTATAACCTGTGGTGATCTTCTCATCCCCTCCTCATCCCTGGGCAGGTTGAATGCCTGCAGCACTGGGGAGTGGAAAGAGATGCCCTTTGTCACCAGCTTCTGTGTCCCCTCAGGGTCCTTTGAGCTCTTCAGTAATTTCAATGGTACAGTTAAAGACGACTTTTCTGAATTTGACAACCTTCGAACTTCCAAAAAAACAGGTAGGTAAAGATGGTTCTATAGCATTCTGTACATTCGACCACTTAGGAGATTCTAGAAATAGCCAGCTTTGGAGGCCTTTCAACGTGTGTGTGTATGTAAGTCAGAGAACAACTTTAAGAAGTCAGTTCTCTCCTGCCTCATCTCCAGCTTCCAATTGATTCTCCTGTCTCTGCCTCCTATCTCCTATAGGCTACTAAGATTACAGATGTGAGCCACTGCATCTGGCTTTAAAAATTATTATTATCTGGGCTGGAGAGATGGCTCAGCAGTTAAGAGCACTGACTGCTCTTGCAGAGGACCTGGGTTCGATTCCCAGCACCCACATGGAGGCTACGAACCGTCCTTAACTCCAGTTCCAGGGGAATGAATCCAAAGCCTTCTTCTGACCTCCGCAGCAATGCACCACATGGGTGCACTCACATACATGCAGGCAATACACTCATACACATAAAATAAAAATAATAAATAATAAAAAAAAATTATCTCTGTGTGCATGTGTGTGCGTGCATATTTGTGAGTGCAGGTGCCCTCAGAAGCCCCCTTGGAGCTGGTGTTACAGGCATTTGTGAGCTGCTTGATGTGGATGCTGGGAACTGAACTTGGGTCCTCTGCAAGAGCAGTATACAATATCAGTCTTAACCATTGAGCTATCTCTCCAGCCCACATCTGGATTGAACCCAGGTGGTCATGCTTAATCAACAAGAGCCTTTTCCCATTTGACCCATCTTGCTGTTCCAACCATCTTTTTTTTTTTTTTTTTTTCCAGACAGGGTCTCTTGGTGAACCTGGCACTCACTGTTTCAGCTAGACTGGCTAACCAGTGAGTCCCAGGGATTGATCCGATTAGTGTGTAAAATAGGAAGTACAATCCGGTGAAATCACATTTCATGTTGTATAGGCATCTGGGTAATCAGAGTATCGTCGTGGTATTCCTGATAAACCTAAAAAATGTGTCTTCACTTGCCCAGTGCTAGGATTATAGGCTTGCACTGCCTTGCCCAGCTTTTTTAACATGGATGCTGAGGATCAAACTCAAATTTGCACTGTGTTGGCTGAGCCATCTCCTCAGCCCCATCATGCCTGGTCTTTGTAATTTGGTTTTGGGAATCTGAAGCTTCTAATTTCTTGGAATTCATGCATTGACAGTAAAAAGTCACAGAAGGGACCTGCGAGATGTTCTCAACAGGTTGGGATGCCTGCCACCAAGCCTGACAGCCTGATTTTGATGCCCAGGATCCACATGGTAGAAGAAGCATGCCAACTCCCACAAGTTGACCTCTGACCACCACCTGTGCACTGTGGCACACTGCACACTCTCAACCCGGGCTGCCACACAAAATAAAAATGAAGCACTAACAAAAAAAAAAAGGCAGGGAAGGGCTGACCAGATTGCTCAGTGGTTAGGGTGCTTGTGACCATCCCTAATGACCTGAGTTTGATCCCTGGAACCCACATGATAAAAGAGAACTGACTTGTGCAAATTGTCCTCTGAGCTCCACACAAACAAATTAATAAAAAGTCACAGAAGTAACAAGGATGAGGTTTTCAGTTTTTTTTCATGTTGAATTGTATTTTGTGGTTTGTCAGGTCATCTTTAGGGCTCTCTCCAGTCAACCAGGTTCTGGAGGCTACCTGCCTCTTGTCTAGTCACCTTCCTCAAGCCAACTTCCCATTTTCCCTAGATGCTTTCCCAGACTACCTGCCTCTTTTTACTCCTTCCTAGTGATAGTCCAAGACAGGAGACTCTGGTCTTGTCCAGATTCAACACCCCTGCCAGGTTCCCCTGGGCTAGGAAAGCTTGGGGGTAGAGAGTAGGGGCCTGGGGGCAAGTACAGGAAAGCAGCCTGAGCCTCACCTCCCAGCCTTATGCAGCACACATACTTTTTCTTCTGTCCTGTCTTTCCCATCTCTTTCCGTCTCTACCTCCCTTCCTGTGGCTGCCCTACTTCTTTTAGCCCCACTGACCTGGCTGATTCCCACCCCACTCCTCTCAGCTCAGGGGCACTCAGCCAGGAGACTAGCTACATGTTCAAGAAACTGCTACTTTTCAGTCTTTTGCTACATTAAGAAAGTGGAGTGGGGGCCTGGGGAGATGGCTCAGAGGTTAAGAACACTCGCTGTTCTTCTAGAGGACCCAGGTTCAATTCCCAGCACCCACATGGCAGCTAACAACCATCTGTAACTCTAGTTCCAGGGGATCCAGTGCCCTCTTTTGGCCTCTGTAGGCTTTCCAAGACATGGGTATACTTACACACATGAAGGCAGTATCCCCAGGAGACTAGCTACATCTTCAAGAAGCTACTACTTTTCAGTCTTTTGCTACATTAAGAAAGTGGAGTGAGGGGCTGGAGAGATGGCTCAGAGGTTAAGTGTACTTATACACATGAAGGCAATACCCTCATACACATAAAATAAAAACAATAAAAAAGAAAGCGGAGCAGTGCACACCTTTGCACGCCTTTAATCCCAGCACTCCAGAGGCAGAGGCAGGCCTGGTCTACAGAGCAAATTCTAGGCCAGCTAAGGCAACAGGGAGACCCTGCCTCAAAATAAACAAAAACAAAACAACCAAACAAAAAAACAATTAGGACCCACAAGTCTCTGTAGTCAACCTAACCTATCCTGTGCTGTCCCCACCCCCTCATGGCCTATGTGAGGAGCTTGGCCCTGAGAATGGGGATTATCTGATGTCTTTTCTGAACATTGAGCAATTGCTTTTTTTGTTGTTGTTGTTCTTTTTGGAAAAGGGTCTTCCTGTAGTCCAGCTGACCTGTAACTCACTATGTAGAGACCAGGCTGGCCTTGAACTCACAGAGATCCACCAGCCTCTGCCCCCCGAGTGCTGGGATTAAAGGTGTACGCCACCATGCCCGATGCAATTTTTTATTTAAAAAAATTATTTTTATGTGTATGAATGTATTGCCTGTAGGCATGTGCATGCACCCATGTTGTGCACTACCCATGGGGGTCAGAAGAGATCATTGGATCTCCTGGAACTGCAGTTATGGACAGTTGTTAGCCACATGTGGGTGCAGGGATTCGAACCTGGGTCCTCTGCAAGAGCAGTCAGTGTTCTTAACCATTGAGCCATCATCTCTCCAGCCCCAATCTTATTTTACCCAAATCATTAGTCAGGTTTTCTTCTCATCCTGATTATGGAGTAACAGAGTACAACTCTTCTCATGACTTTAAAAATTAGTTAGAAGGCAGTTGGTGGTAGCTCCATACATCTTTCTGTGACTTAGCAATAATATATTTCATCTGCAGTTTGAGGGAGGACATTTTAAGTTGATTTCAAGTTTAAAGTAAATAATGATGTGCTGAACATCTTTGTGCTTAAATCCTGGTTCACACTGTATGTTATTTCCTTAGACTAGATGCCTAGAAGTGGGTTCTGCTGGCGTCCATGGCCATGATGCATAGCCAGGCAGCCATATGCCTGTGGCCAGTCCCAGCACACATGCTGGCTGAATTTTAAAATAGTTGACTTGTTTTTTACTATCAAGAAATTGATTTTCTTTGTAGAAAATCTAGAAAGTAAAAATGTAAAATGAATATAAGCCATTGTAAATTATCTGTGCTTTGCTACTTACCCCAAATAACATCTCAGTACTTTTAGAGGATCGTGCTCTGCATACTGTTGTGAATCTGACTCTTTCACTTACTCTTTTTTATTACATGTATTTATTTTTGTGTGTGTGTGTGTATGTGTATGTGTGTGTGCGTGCACATGCTTGCTACAGTGTGCACATGGAGGTCAGAGGACAACTCATAGGAGTCAGTTCTCTCCACCCTGGGTTTTGGGGCTTGAATTCTGGTTGTCAAGCTTGGTGGCAAGTGCATTTACTCACCAAGCCATCTCACTAGTCCTCCACTTACTATTTTGATACCATTTTCTTTGTTCATATTTATTATTATTATTTTAAAAAATATTTTGTATATTTTATATGTATGAATAAGTATATAAGTGCACCTGTGTTGTCAATGCTCTTAGAGGTCAGAAGAGGGCACCAGATTGCCCTGGAACTAGAATTAGGTATGGTTATTAGCTGTCAGGTGGGTGCTGGGAATTGAACCCCACTCCTCTGCAAGAGTAGCCAGTGCTCTTAACCACTGAACTATGTCTCCAGCTCCTTTGTTTATTTTTATGTATTATTCTAACCCTGCATTTTGGTGTTTGGATATATGGAAGCATAGTTTCTTTAACCCTTCATGACTAATTCTATGTCCTCATTCAGGGCTGCAGTAAAGGACAGGTAGGGAATACTAGGTCTTGTGCACAGAGCACTGGTCCTAGGAGCTACAATGTCGAGATTGGCTGTAACCATAGGCACAGTCTCAGGCCCTTGTCTCAGCCCTCATTATGTTGTCTGCATCCTTGCCTTGCAGCTGAGTCAGGGACCTCTCTACCATCCCAGGACAGTGGAACCACAAGCCCTGACCCCTTCGATTCTCAGCCCCTGACTTCTGCCTCAAGCAAACCCAGCAGTGCTCGGAAAACACCTGAATCCTTCTTGGGCCCCAATGCAGCCCTGGTGAACCTGGATTCACTGGTGACCAGGCCTGCCCCACCAGCCCAGTCCCTCAATCCCTTCCTAGCACCAGGTAGGCACGTGCTTCATTAACTGCTTTTATTGCCTGAGGTTGGCCTCTTCCCCTTTCTCTCCTCCTCTCAGGGGCTTCTGGCGTGGGACTGGGAAGAGGTAGAGCCCATGCAGTAGTGGGAGTTGTTATTTAAAAGGGGTCAGGGGAGATATCACCCTTTCCTGTTGGGGAGCATCAAGTAGAAGCTGTCTGAATGCTGCACTTGCAGGGACCCTCCTTCCCCCAACCCCCAGTGCCTGAGTACCAGTTCTGGGTCTGGTGGAGAATGGATGCTGGGGTGAGAAAGAGCCAAGGTTTGTTGTCTAGCATCTGTCCCTGTGTAGGAGAAGCAGTGCCATGGCTCTTTATCATGAGCTACCCCTGGCAACTGAAGGACCCTAGCCATAGGGCCTGGCACAGGATTCTGTACAATATACTCCAGGGATTCTGCACTGGCTATAGGATAGGCCCAATTACTTCACCCATATCTAGGGTCCTTGTGGCCTGATTCTGACCTTCTAGCCTGTCTTCTCTCTCTTCATCCCTATGTGTATCATACTCTTCAGGTACCCCAAGCTAAACAACCATCCTTGGACTTTTGAGGCCCTCTCTTTCTCTCTAGGCTATGACACTCCTTACTCACTCTGCTTTGCACATCCTCCTTCCTTCTTTCCGTATCCAGTTCAGGTGACCTTTTCCCTAGTAAGTCTTACCTCCCTTTTTCTGCACAGATTCTCTTAAGACTTAAGCTCACTAAAGGCAAAAATATATCCTTTAACAGTGTTGGCCTCTGATCTGGCACTGGGTCACAGGAGCTCAGAGGACCCTAGTCCTCTGCCTCAATAGGACCTGGCAGAAGAGTGATCTCTAGGCCTAGAGAGGCTAGGGTTGGAGGCTGTAGGAAGAAGTAGGCTCTGTGGAATTCCTAGATCTCAACCCATCCTGACGTTGTCCTAATGGTCGAGGGGGTTCATGAATCCTAGAGGAGTTGCCCCATGGGTGGAGCTGGTTACGACCTGGGCTTCTCAGACAGACTGGTACCATCCTTGCCTAAGGCTCCTGTCCCTGCTCCCAGAGGCCAGTAGTTGTCAATAGCTGCAGCACAGTAGTGGACCTTGCACATAAACCCATCATAGAGTCTGGGAGCTACGGCCAGATTGAACAGGTTTGGGAAAATATGCTAGACCTTCAGGGTCTTTCTGGGCTACACATGTGGACCTGACTTTGCCCTTCCCTGGTGAGGGGCTGCTTCTCTGCAGTGCCCATGTCCTTGGTGAACCCGGGTAACATCAGAACCCACAGTAGGCCCTGGCAGAAGTACACTCTCAAGGGTGGGTCAGAGTGTAGCAGCCTCATCTTTGTAGTGGTGACTTATGCTGCCCCTTGATGAGCATGCCACCTTGGTGAGTAGTGCCCAACAAGGATGTTGCCATGTCTCTTGGAAAGAACCACCAGCTGTTTTGACAGTGTGCTAAAGAGCCTTTTGGTTGAGGGAGGTTTAGAGAAGGTAAGACTAGACTGACTGACTTCTCAACAGAAGGCTTCTCAAGTCTTCATGGTATGTACCAGCCTGCATGGCCTCTGGTTCCTGTGCCCCTGCTCCTCCTTTCTCTGAGGCATCTGCAGTCGCAGCTGGCAGTTAGGAAGAGGGAGCAGGGCAGCTGACAGCAACCTGGGTGCCTGTCCTGCAGAGGAGACAGGGTCCCCCAAATTGGTGTGCCCTCAGTTCTGTCTTTGACTCCACAACGCCAGGACAGGTTCTACAATCCAGTCAGTCTCCTTGCTCTCAGCATTCTATAGGTGTTCTGCCAGCACCTCCTTAGACTCTGATGGTTTAGCAGGATCAGGAATACAGCCCTGCTCTAGAGCTCAGTTTGGTGATGGAATTGCCAAATGTGGAGGGGTGGGGGGCATGCCTTCCCTGAAGGGATGATACTTTCCAATGGCTTAGCTCTGCCCTCCTGCTCTCTTCCTAGGTGCTGCCACTCCAGTCTCCATCAATCCCTTCCAGGTGAACCAGCCCCAGCCACTGACGCTGAACCAGCTTCGGGGGAGTCCTGTCCTTGGGAGCAGTGCATCCTTCGGGTCTGGCCCAGGGGTGGAGCCCGTTGCTATGGCCCCCATGACCTCAGTGGCCCCACACCCAGCACTGGGGGCCAGTGGTTCCTCATTGACACCACTGGGCCCTACGGCAATGAACATGGTAGGAAGTGCGGGCATTCCCCCGTCTGCAGCTCAGGCCACTGGCACAACCAACCCTTTCCTTCTCTAGTGCCCAGCCTGAGACTTCCTGAGCAAACGCCCACAGTGCCATGCCAGAGGATGCCAAGTGGGGATTCACTCTGATTTGTGGGTAGTGGCTGAAGATGTGGCTGTGGGGGGTGTTAGAGTTTCAGGTTCTCCTTCCTGGTGAAAGGGTTGTTCTAGTCCAGACCTTTAGGCTGGAGTGGCAGGAGGGTTAGTCTCACCATCCCAGCCTGGCCCACTGCATCTTTTCCCAAGTGCTCAGCTCTGACTGTCCTCCACTGAGATTTTGAACAAGGAGGCGTGGTCAGTGTTACACTAGACCCGAGATCCTGGGATGCTGTCTAGAAGTCATATTGTGTGTGCCCTACCCTCAGCTCTAGGGACCTCCAGTTAGTCCCAGGTGTGGACAAAGTTGAAGCTCCAGCCCCACTCACACTGACTGTTGCAAAGTGGTTGTGCATATTTTATTTTCCTTTGACTCGTGTGAGTCCAAGGTAACCACCACCACTGTGGATGACTCATTAAACCCACTAGAGGAGCTTTAAGCTGATTTGAGCGTAACCCTGCCCTGTGGCTCTATGCTTGTACACGTTTGCACATACTTTGTGGAGTACAGTTTCATATTTGAGTTTGCAGAATTATCTAATAGTCTTTTTTTGGCTAATATTTTTATAACGTGGTTCTTATTTAACTGTCTAGTTTTGATAGAATTGACCAAGTCTGGCTGAATTAAGGTCTTGGCACGTATCATTTTAGTAATTCTAATTTCTCTTATTTATGGTTTTTAACTTTAAGAAAACTTTTAAAAAAAGAGATATTTGGATGATAAAAATATGCCTTATGGAAAACTAAGCAAATTCTTTATAGGAAAAAAAATACAGGAATTTGATTACACAAAAAAGATGTTTATTAAAACAAAAACTCCAACAGTAAAAACTTGTAGCCTCCAGTTGCCTGTTTCCTTTCTTCAGCTCTTTTGGTGAATTACCAAATTAATCAACTCTTCAGCCTTTTTGGCTAGGTCCTGAGAGAGGCTTTTTTCTACTAGTAAATCAACATCTTGAAAGTTAAAAGATTCTCCAGTTTTTAATCAACTAGTTCTTTTTGTAGCTGGCACACAGGGTTTGCCAGGGACTTCTAGTTACCACAGACGGGAAGTACAGCCGACTACCCTATCTCCATCATGTTCAGGTTAACAAGATTGTGTGGAAATGGGGATAGCACCATACTTTTGGGCCCATGGGTCACCAGGATGGTCCCCAGGCTGAGACAGGACCGGGTCTGACCCTGACCTGCCTGCCTGCCTGCCTGGCCGATATGAACTCAAGCTGCCAATCAAGAAGTAATAACCTCTTATTTTGGAGATGAAGAAAAAGATCTGCAAATGGGCTAGATGTCTAATAAATGTGCACTGATAACTATCTTCCCTTCCAACCACCTGCTGTCCTCACTCTACCCACCATTAAGAAAAGTATTAAATCCCAAATTACAGACCATGAAAGACTTGTTTTTCTTCCCTTTTGGGTCCTAGAAGTTTGCCCGCCTGACCTTTTTGTCTTATCTTGCAGTATGAACTTCTCACCTCCTGTTTCAAGGGCAACCAACAAACTACCTGATAGCCACTTTGGGTCCAGAGTAAACTTTGATCCTCAGCATCTGATTGGGTGACTCAGTGGTCCCTGCTTGAGGGAGGACTGCACTCAGGCCCCTCCCAAATCTGAGAGCTCACATGCTGCTCCTAAGCCCCACAAATCATGGGCTCTTCCAACTAGCTACCCCTCCTGGAACTGAAGGCTGGTGGCCTGTCTTCTGCCTGGGAGATGTAAAGGCATCATGGGAAAGGGAGATGTAAAGGCATCATGGTATAAGTCATGGCCAGACCTGCCTGCTGGGGCTTAGCGATTGTCCTGGAGTAGACAAGAGCCCTTCTGACTAAGGCCCTAGCCTGATAGCCCCCAAGCCCTCTCCTGGCACAGGCCATCTAGCACACATTGTCCCTGTTGCCCATTGCACTGATCCTGAAGCCACCAGCCACCAACATGTGTTTTGCACATGTGCCACTGTGTCCCTTGCTGATGAACACCATGGTGGAAGAAGTCACCCAGCTGTTTCTCAGTCCCAGGGCTGGTGGTTGGTTTTCAATTTGTGTTGACTGTTGATACTTATTTACTGTATAAATATAATTTATCATTTATATCATGATGTGGTTTCTGCTGTGTCCTTCCTTTTGGTGGGCTGACTAAAGGCTGTGCTGGGCAAGTATTGGCCCAAGTCCATTACTCCATCCTATGTCTGCTGATGTGCCATGGCCTCTTGCTTTGAAGGAGGTGGCTGTGTCATGAGAAGCTTTGACCTGTCAGATAGGCAGTTTCCTTTATGTTCGGGGAGTGAGAAACGGGCTTGTTTAGCAGGTTCCCAGTTCTGTTATAGCTGGCCCTCTGGGCACCAAGTCCTTCACTCTTCTTCCTTCCCAGACCAGAAAGTCCCATTGGTCATTTCTATGTCCAGCTAAGAATTTACGGGCAGAGGCTTCTCCAGCAAGGCAGGCTCACAAGAGGCCCATTCCTGTATTTTCTTCCAACAATAGCCAACAGTATAGCCAGGTGAGTGACCTAGGCATAGCCTTGCTGGAAGAGTAGAGTGGGAAGCACCAACCATAGCACTAGAGCCCTGTGAGGCCTCCCAGCACCAAAGGTGGCCCGGGACCTGACAGAGCTCTGGTTCTTCTGTGTTTGTATGTATGTGTGTCCATCCATTCCCTGACCACTTTCTCCATGCTCCAAGCTCTGCTCTTGGGGTGGCCTATGCTTTGAGTGAGAACCCAGGAGCCCAGTTCTCTGTATAGATATTGCTAGCCAGGACTTGTTCTGAGTTCAAGGCTTTGACTCAGGCTCATAGATCCTGTGGAAGCCATTTCCCTCAGAACCTTGGTAGGCTTTTAGCTCTTTTCTTCTTTGGTTCCCTGGACACATACTACATTAGTCAGTTACTTAGAGCCCATCTCCCATACATACTCAACTGGCCCAGCAGACTTTAGTAGGCATGATGCAAGCAGGGGCTTGGATGCTTGCACATGACTCATCCTTGTGGCATGTTCTGCTGGTACCCTCCTGGTGGGCTATGAGACATTCAAGTGCATGGGTTGCATTGGGCAGGAGCCCCTGGTAAGCTCCCAGATAATGCCACAGTCTGAGGGCACACAGCACTACACAGAGTCTGGTCACCAGTGCATCATGAGATAACAAGGCTTTTTTTTTTTTTTTTTTCCCCCAGTATTTTTGAGACAGGGTCTCCCTGTAGCCCCAGCTGGCCTGGAACTTGCTCTGTAGACTAGGCTGGCCTCTAACAGAGATCCGCCAGTCTCTGCCTCCTAAATGCTGGGATTAAAGGTGTGGACCACCACACCTGGACCTAATAACAAGGCTTTTTTAAAACTAGTTTTGGGATATGTTACACAGCAATAGATAATAACTGAAATGCACAGAGTTCTCCTGTGAGGCTGCCATACTTGGTTCCCCTGCACCCCTGACCCCTAACTTAGCAGGAGTTACCACAGTGCATGAGCAGTCATTGTTAAATTTCAATCTTCTATTCAGTCTTTTTTCCATGTTTTTATAAAAACAGGGTCTCACTGTATAGCCCCGGCCAGCCTTGAAACTCAATGCCTCTTCCTCCCAAGTGCTGGGTCCAAAGGTGTGCGCCACCGTCTTTGCTAATCTTTTGATACCAGTTTTTCAGCTTGTCTTATGTTTCCTTTCTGTTGCAGACTAGCCTGTTTCCTGGGCTTTGCTTTTCTGCCCTCTTCCCCCAGAGCTGGGGCTCCCACAGAAGCTGCCTCTAGGTTAGGGGGTGGTGCTTTGCTGCCCAGTGTGTGTTCTGTACTCTTGTCTACCAGCCTGCTGCACAGCCTTGCCTTGTACAGTAATTTCTGGTTTGTAGTTACAGTATAAACCCATTTCTCATAGCAGTTTCTGTGTCAATTAGAAAATAATAGGGTATGTGGGAGTAAATCTACTGCCCTCATTCTGTTCAGGACATAGGACAATAAAAGTGTATTTTTCCCCCACAGAATGCTCAGCAGGGGTGTCCTTGCAGCTCCCTTTCTGGCTGGAACTTGGACTCCACCTAACTCCCTCACCATGCTGCTGCCTTTAGCATGGACCTCCAAGGGCTCCATGGACAAGAGCAAGAAGTGTCAACTCAGGAGGCTTAAAGGGCTTCCTAAGTGGAGCTGCCTTTCATCATTTCTTTAGTTTACCCAGCTGGACACAAGAGGACTGGGAGATGTGGTCTTCTGGTGTACCCAGAAAAAACAGTAACACAGCTGCAACAATGAATGAAGGGGAAACCTGGGTGCATGTCCCTTGACTGACCTTCAGGTAGATGATCAGGAAACTATGATGCTCCCACATACCAGTCACACTCCAGCCATCAGCCTCCAGAGTTCTTTACTGCATGATTCTCTCACCTTGACTGGCAGGCGTGATGGGCTCTGAGGTGATGGTACAGTTCTCTGTCTTGATGGAGTTGAGGTATGCACTTATTGAAACTCAAGTGCAAGACAAACAGGATTCATATGCATCTTGTAGGTTGTAAATGTCTACTTGAAAGATGACTAATGATGAACATGCTGAAGCACAGCAGGCGATACTACCCCTGTAATTTAGTTTGAAATGTGCTAAACCCAGGATGAACTGATGGAAAGGACAGCTGGACAGATGTCTCTTGGTGTCCTGGGTGGCTAGAAACCTGGGTACATACCAAAGTCTGAGGACTCTAAAATCCCTTGTATAAATGGTGTAGTGTTTACACAGTACCCACATATTCCTGTATACTTTACATTGTTTCTAGATTACTAGTAATACCAAACACAATGTAAATAATATGCAGTTGTTGTGAGGGATGGTGACAGGAAGAAAAGTCTGCATATGTTTAAGATTTGATTTATCTAAATGTTTGATATATGGGTGTTGGAACCCTTGGACATGACACCTATGGATACAGAGACCCAATTGTATAGGAAAATGGTCAACAAGATTCTAAATGGGTATTTGATTCACTTCAATTTTTCTGTTTAAACAGCTTTATAATGTTTGGGAAACTGACATTTGCACTCTGGAAGAGGGCAGCCTACTGTATCAAAACTGCTGGTAGATGGGTACATAGTGCCTGAGGCCCTAGATGGAGAGGAGTTAGCTTCCTTAAAAGGTCAGGTTGACTGGGTGTGGGGTAAGGCATTCCTTGTGGATGTCACACTTAGAAGAAGCCAGAGTACAATGCTTTTGTTGGGGGTGGCTTCTGAGGGAGCATCTCTGGGGTGGAAGGTGCAGGGGTGCTGATGGTCTAAAGAGAAGGGTGGGCATGAGGGAGTGGCTTGAGGGACACCTACAGGAACTTTGGGCAATGAGGCCCTAGGGGTTTGGTGGTGGGTGGAAAGGTGGCTGTGGCAGGTGAGCTAGTGGGCTTTTAATATTTTACGTGTATGAGTGTATTGCCTGCATGCATGTAAGTGCACCCATGCCGTGCCCGCAGAAGACAGATGAGGCTGTCGGAGCCTCTGGAACTGGAGTTATGGATCCACAGGAGAAAGATACTGGTCTGAGGAACCCTTGGGTTGTTAGCCACCATGTGGGTGCTACGATTCAAACCTGGGTCCTCTGGAAGAGCATCCAGTGCTCTTAATTGCTGAGCCATCTCTCCAGCCCGGACTTTTAATATTTTATGTGTCTGAGTATATTGCCTGCATATGTTTAACTGTACCCATGTTGTGTTATGCCCAGAGGTCAGAAAGGGTGTCAGATCTCCTGGAACTGAAGTTAAGGATGGTTGTTAGCTGCCATGTGAGTGCTGGAAACCAATCCCGAGTCCTCTGCAAGAGCAGCCACTGCTCTTAACCACTGAGCCATCTCTCCAGTTCCGCTAATGGGCTTTTAGAAAAAAGAACATGCTGGGTGTGGTGGCACAAGCCTTTAATCCCAGCACTTGAGGGGCAGGGGCAGTTGGATCTCTTTGGGTTCGAGGCCTGCCTGGTCTACATAGCAAGTTTCAGGCCAGCTGGGGCTACAGGGAGACCCTGTCTCAAAAAAAGAAAAGAAAGAACACAGGACAGGTGGAGTGGATAGAAGTGATGAGCATGAGTTCTAATGTGGAGAAAAGACAATGCAAGCAGAACCCAGACAGAACCAAGGGTTGCTGAGGGACCCTTGGGTTCAGATTTTAAACAAGACATTCTGGTCTTGGAAATAGGTAGCAGGGGGTGGGATGCAGCTATCAAGATCACTACGCGTGTAGAAGCTGTGGAAGAGGCTGTCCGCACAGCCATGCCATTGAGAGCACATCATGAGCAGCCTCTTTGGTACAAAAGCTTGCAGCTTCTGACAGCTTCTGGCTCAGGAAGCTTGAACAAGAGGAAGGAAACAGTCCCTCTAGAGCTGGCATGGGGTGTGTGGGAGGAAAACGATGCCACTACAGAGGGCTGCAGGGCTGGGACCAGCCTCAGAAGCAGTAGGAACTTACTCTTTAGGGGTTTTGCAGGACAGTGGGGTGGAGGTGGGGTGGGGGCAGAGGATGGGATTGCTGCAGGAGATAAAGGATGGGAGAGTTGGCTCATGTTTCAATGACCTAGAGTAAAGTGCAGCAGTGAGGTTGCTGGTATGAAGGTTTGGCAAGGGGAGGTCAGTTTACATGCCGGGCCAAAGGCCTTGGCATGCCAGGGTATGCGCCACCAGCATGCATACATGGGGGAACTGATGACCCAGGTCCAGGCTCCCCACAGATACCGGGGTGCTGGACTGTGGGGCTTGCTCAGAAAGTTGCACTCTAGGTGGCATCCTCCTGTCTGGAAGGTTTCTTACCCTTCAGGCTGGAGGTAGGTGCCCCTTAGAGCCCCTCTCCATGTAGATCCTGCTAGCAAGATCCTTTGCCAAAGGAGACTGACAATCACAGAACACAGTTCCAGACACAGAGTAACTTAACTTCCTTGCTGCCAAGGTAGGCAAGTTCTAGGGATGAGTGTGCTTGTGCACTAAAAAGGTCTCAGCTCTGAGCATTGGGGCCAGTGATATCAAAACTCAGGCTGGTTGGCTGTCCTGGGGCAGCTTCCACCCCAGGATGATGCCCTTCAGGGCAGCACCTGTTCTGAGAAGCAGTGCCTGGCCAGCCCGTCAGAGGAAGAAGAAAGTCCAGGCCCAGGCTCTAAAAATGTGGTATTTATTATATAAAACATTTCTGAACCGCCCCCAGCCCCTCAGATGCACTTGCGGTCCAGCCCTTGACTGTAAGAGCTGTGGGGTGCCTGGCCTGGGGTGGTGGGCAGAGCGGTTCCAAGACTTCATTGCAAATTGCCCTGGTGCAGGCTGGGCCCCAGACCCCCTTGTGTGTCCACAGGCCCCGTGTCATAGCCCAATTTCCTCATGTCCTTGGTCACTACATTGAAGAAGAGGGTGACAAATCCCTGAGAACGGACACGGGTCACTGCGGACAGAAAGTCAATGTTAGCTGGGCTTGGCTGGACCAGACATGGCAGACCTACCCCAGCCAGGCCCTTGTGTGGAAGGCATTCTGGGAAAATTCTCTAATTGGCTCATGTATTACTAGGCCCCAGGTGTCTGGCAGCTCCCTGGCTTTACCCATTTGTTTCCCAGGCTCCTGGGGTTTGGGCCCCACCTCATCCCTCCCTAGGCTCCAATCAGGAATGGGACCATTTGGCTTTACCTTCCCGGCCTTCACCCTGGGCCACCACCTTGGGGTCTGTGTACTCAGGCCGCCGTCCCATGAACCAGCTGGGGATACAGGAAAACACCAGTGAGCAGGGCTTGCTGGCCTCACACTGGACAAAACCTCTTCTGACTTAAAGACCCGGAGTCCTTTCATAACCCCTCCCCCTAGGAACCAGGCTTGAGACAGAGCCTCCCAGCGCACCCTCTCTGACCATCTGATAGGGTAGGTGTGATTCCAGGGTGGTGCCCCTTTTCAGGGTCTGTGGCCAACAGAGGCCTACCAGTACTTCTGCCAGGCGTTGTTAGGTACTCCACTGGCCCAAGTGGTGTCCAGCCTGCCCAGCCCAGGCTTTGATGGGTTTGAGTTATCAATGATGAATGCTGAGGGACATCTGGGGTGGGAGTACAACCTGAACCCATAGAAATTCCCTCAAAGAGACAGCTGAGTCGGGAGGGGAAGCAAGACATTGTACCCCTCTGCCTTCTCAAGAGGGAAAACCCAACTCCATAGGTGGGTCGGATATAGGTCTCCAGAACCTCGCCTCTGAACAAGCCACATCCCATCACTAAACCTCAGTTTGGTCAACTGTAAAACAAGCCCCATGAGGCACCACATGAGACTAGGAGATGAAGGCACCCTGTCAGCTGCCGAGATGCTACAGGTGTCAGGTCATCTGACTCTAGTCTTGCCCTATAGAAGGCTACTGTGTCAGACCCTTACAGGAGTCTTGTCATCCCTATGAATGTCCTTTGACTCACCTAGGCCACAATCCCCCAGCGCCAGTAGCATTCTGCATCCCCCAGCCTCAGAGTCTGGGCTCTGCATATGGGGAGGATGTGCTGGCCCAGCAGCCCATAGTCATGCTTGACTGGAAACCATAGGCTTGGAGCAGACAGGATTTTCCCATATCACTCAGGATCCACTCGGGCTCTACGCAGTAATTCTACCAGCATTCCTGGTTTGCCTGTGGAGTGGGGCTTTGTCCTCTCCCAGGGCCATTTCCGGCAGGCCTTCTGATAACCACTACCCAACCACCACTCATGCTATGCTTACAGGTACCAAACTGCTGGGTCCCTGGGCTTCCAAGCCATGCCTCTGCAACTCCACTGGGCTGCCAGGCAGGAGACTGAGAGGAAACCACACTGAGGGAGTGCTGTTCAGTCACTCAAAGGAAAGGGACAGGGAAGCCAGGGTTCTTGCTTAGCAGCTATGCATTCCAGCAGGAACTAGATGGGTGGGTACACCTATGCATGTTTCCCACATCATAGCAAAGCTCTAACTGCATCTACCTCCTTCAGTACTGTGAGGAACGCTGCTCCTGCTGTGTGGTCAGATCCCACCCTCACCACTTTCAACTTTCTTCTAATATACAGGTTTGCTCATCTAAGAGACAGACTATTCAGGGAAAATGTTCTAAGCAAGGGCTGAGGTAGAGTAGAACCCAGTGGGCTCAGAAACCCGAGGCAGGTGAGGGGCCCATGTAAACGGGAAGCAAGAGGAGAGAGGCTGAAATGACTCCTAAATGCAGAGGGCAGGCGGAACAGCTTCCAGTAGCAATGGCTCCTAGGGGCTCCGATGACTAGGTTGCAGTGTCTGCAGCAGGCTGAGTAACCACGCCAGAAATACTGAGTCACAGCATTCCCTGGACATGGGGAATGTGACCTTATTTATGAAGGGTGTCCATGTGGATGTTACTAAGTTAAGGATTTTGCAATGTGGAGATTATCTTGGGTTATCTAGGTAAGGCATAGGCAAGGAGCTGCCTGAACAGTCCACCATGAGGCCTCCCTCCTATAGCCCAGAACAGTCTCTTCACTGCTCTAACACGGGCCCAGGTTCCTGCCTCTCAGGGCTGCAGGCAGAGAAGCAAAGTCAACACCTCAACAGGATGGTGGAATAGCCCTGTAGCCTGTCTAAACCTGCTGACATCCCCTGAACAGTACTTCCCAACAGTCCTACAGCTGGTAGTGTCCAAGTGATCCTGGCCAGGGCATTTGGCTAAGCCTTTTCCTACCTTGGTTCCTCCCAGAGGGTATCCTGGGGCAATGGGCATCCAAATCTTTGGGCTGAAGCCAATGGAGAATGCTGTCCTTTCCCTCAGAACTCAGTGTGGCCTCCTTGGCTGGGCTGTCCCTCTACTCATTAGGACTCTGGCCAGGTCCCTCTACGTAATATAGGCACTTGCCAACTTGCAAGAGGCTGCTCACTGGCTGGCACCTGGAAGTCTGGGTGGTCCTTTACTTTCCCCTTGTCCTCAAAAACCTGTTGGGGAGCAGTAGTGGCTTGCAACAAAGCTAGGATTAGCAGGTACTTCCACCCTGATCTGACTCGGTCAGCTACGACTTGGATGGCTCTCCATGCTCCTGGTTGGATACAGCAAGGGTAGGCCTTCCTACTGGGCCATCTCCAGGCTTCTTTCCTCTAAGCTGTGTCCTGGATCCTGCTTGCCTCCCTAAGCACCCCCACCCCCACCCCTTGCTCACACTTACTGGCCACAGCAACCTCTTGGCTATTCCTAACTCTAAGCTTAAGCCTTCATCAGACCCTGCAAGAACTAGTTGGGCTCTGTGTGTGAAGCATACTTCCTAGATCCTTCATGGCTACTGCTTAGTCCTGGTATTATCTCTGCCCAAAGTCACTCCTTCCTGATTGGCTCCTGTAGTGAAGGCATTTAGTAGCTGCCTCCTAAGAGCCATATAGGATCATTGTGACTGGCTTAAGGAGCTTGCCTCATATTGCTGCATCCATGCCCATGCACATTTCCATGTGACAAAGACTTTTAGAGGGCACTTAAGACAACTGTAGACTTGAGCTGTCAGAAGTGGCCTAAGGAAGCCCAGTGACTGGGAGTAGTGCCGCCTGCCTACCTACCCATCTCCATCTGTCCTTAGATGGAGCAGCCTGAAGACCTAGGGATTTCCAGGTACCTCAGCAGGGTGGAAGGTGCCTACCATTTAGTCACCCTAGATCAAGAGGCTTCAAACAGAAAACCCACCTTGTGAACTTCTGCAGTGTAGACGTAGACTCTGGCACAAACATGGGGATGGTCCTCTTGTGCCTGAAACAAGTTTTCACACATAGATGTGCTGAGTAAAGTAATAGCCTTGTGGGAACCTTCACAGGCAGGCCAGTCTACACACAGGACTTCTATGCTTACTCCCATCCCCCTCTCACCTATGTGGCTCCCTTCCCAGGAATGGACTATACCCAGTCACATTCACCCTAAGCCACCCATGCTTCTGAGCATATCTGACCTGAGTCTAAGAAGAGGTGGCCAAGAAGCCTGCTGAATAAAAGTGTTCCCAAGGTCTGTCCAGCCCAGTAAGGGGCAGACTATAGCCCAAGGACCAGGTCAGAGTGAGTGAGTACCTACCGTCCAGGAGAGAAGGGCACGTGAACTGCCCCATAGCCTCGGACCACATCATTCCCAAACACGTCTGGTCCATACACACTGAGCACGATCTGTGGCCCTTGGGAAGGACAAGGTGGTTGGCATGTGATGAAACCAGGGAAGGAAGGTAGCAGACCATGTGCCTAGTTCATGGGATGGTGCCCAAAGCCCTGGGAACCCTGCCTTACACCCCCTAACACACACATGCCCAGTCTCTGCCCTTAGTACTTCCTGTGCTACCCTCCATATCGCTGCTCACGGCTGGGAAGGCAAAGCCAAGACACTGTCCCAACTTTGATACTCAGAGGATGCAGGAAGTCCTTAGGAAACCCTGGGGCCAAGCCTGGGCCCCTGCTTTCTTCTGATGGATGTGGTTCCCCACCAACTGTGGAACCCTTGGGAGAGGGACTTGTCCTGGGGGGGTGTCTGAGAGCAGTAAGAAAGTAAGTAGGCCTTCCAGGTATCTCTCCTTAGCTTACCGACACACGTTTCCTATTCATATACCAGCCAGGCATCCTGAGCATCTCTGTCCTCCAGGTGTGGCAGACAGCTCATACCCCAGATGACAAGTGAGACTTGGGAGCTGACTCTGGCCACTGTTGAATGACCTCAGGCAAGTTCTCAACCTGTCTATTCTTAGCTTTCTCACGTCTAAAAGTCTTGGAAATACAGAAAGTGCTCAGTGAAGGTTAAAGATGTCTGTGCCCTCCCCACTACTCTGCCACCAAAAGTAACCTGAATTTGAATTATATCATATATGTGTGTGTGTATTTATAAAAATGCATGTTTGTACCCAGCCTTTTAAATTGTTATGTTTGTGAGACTCACTCAGATGGTTCCATATATAGGAGTTTCTTCATTTTCTATGTTGAATGCCTGACCATTGGAATATACTGTAGTTAGCTTTATGTTGGTGGTGATGGGCACACAGACTATTTCTACTTTGAGAATTATCAGTGTATTGGATCACTCATGTGCAGACTCTGGGCATACTTGTGCACTCATCTTGTGCAATGACCACAGAAGTCAGAAGAGGCTGTCAGATCCCCTGGGACTGGAGTTATGGACAGTTGTTAGCTGCCATGTGGGTGCTGGGATTCGAACCCGGGTCTTCTGCAAGAACAACCAGTGTTCTTAACCGCTGAGCCATCTCTCAGCCCCAAGGCAGATTGATCTTTTAAACTTGATGTATTCTAGGGGGCAGTGTAGCTTCCTGTGGATTTCATTGCATTTCCTTTAAATTAATTAATTAATTAATTAATTAATGCTGTGGATGGAACACTAGGCCTGCTGAATGCTAGGCAAGTACTCCATCTCTGAGCCACACCCTATCCTGTTAGAGGGCTTGGTCAGCCTCATAAGCACCTCTGGGGGACTCAGCTCACACTCACAGGGGTCACTGGGTCACATGTCTGAGGTTTGATTTTTCTCCTGGAACCTAGCTTGGTAAAGCTCCATTGCTTTGCAAGCCCTCAGGATTAGAAGGATGGTTGTAGGATGAGGGAAGAGCATTTGCACAGAACATGAACAGAGACCAGAAGAGAGCCCTTGACTGACCAACACAGCTGGAGCAGGTATCTCAGCTGCTGCCTGCAAGGCTTGGTTTTGGTTTTGCCTTTTAACATTTGATTTTTCTCTTCTAGGTGTCCTCAGCAGGAGCCTGGTCCCAATTTGTGTACTGTCCCAGGAAATCTACGGCAGCTTTCTCCCTCACGGATGACAAAAGGGTGGGAGTCCCTGCCCGGGAGCACCACTGGGCAGACCCTCTGTGTAGTAGGAAGGCCAGGACTGAGAAATCAGATGGATCTGAATTCAAATACACTCTTAGCTACTAAATGTGAAGCTGAAGGCAAGTGCTGTCATCATTTTTAATCTGTTCCCTAACATGGGAAGAAAAGAAGAAAAATCTATGCAACGGATAGGACTAGGCAGCTTGGACTAGCACAAGGAAGGCCCTCATAGCTCCCACGGACCTGACCCCAAGCAAGTACTTCTAAGGGAGAGTCAACAACCAGATGGTTAATAATGACTAGATAAGGCAGGAAACCCTTTGGGGGCAGGCAAACCTGATGACCTGAATTCAAACCCTGGAACCCACGTAAAGGTAGATGTGTGAACCAAACCCAGAAAGTTGACCTTTGACTTCCTCATGATGCACTACAGCATGTGTGTGTGTGTGTGTGCATGTGCACGCGTGCGCATACTTGAGTGTGTGCACACAATAAAATTTCAATTTATTTTTTTAAAGAAAAGCCTTTGGGAAAAAGGGTGAGGGAAGAGTACATGCAGAGAGGGCAGGTATTGCAGAAAGCTGGAGCACAGCAAACAATGGGAAATTGAGAGTCCAGGATCAGACCATCCAGCCTGCATACCAGACTCTGCATGCAGCTGGCAAAGGCAACAGATGATCTGCAGCTGACCAACCTATGACCCTTTAGGAAATGAACTGGGTGGAGGGGATAAGGAAAACACTGAGGGAAAGGGGCATGTAGCAAGTACACTAAAGGCCAGACACAAGCCCAGATGTGGAGCAGTGACCACTGGAGGGAGCTAGTGCTAGAGAGGCAGCAGAGGCTCAACCACCTCCTGGAATGCATGGCCCACAGACTCACAGCCATAGGGGTTGGTGCTTTTAAAGGTGACATCAATGGGGAAGTTCCACACCAGCGCTCGCCGCACATCTTGGCTCTTAGATGCAATCTGTGAGATGCCTTCCTCCAGACCCTGTGCGACACAGACAGCTGGCCTGAGTTCTAGGCACTCACGGCCCATCCCCTGATCCTAGGCTTCTCCCCAGACTCTGGGAGGGCTGTTTAATCAGCTAAGTTCTTTCTGCATGGCTTGTTCCCACCCTTCCTTCAAATCTTCACCCCAAAGTGCCTTTCACTGCAGCCTTCCTTGGTCTAGATTCCAGTTTCTCTGTTATCCTTTCTACCCTACTCCTGAAATCACTGCCCTCACTGTCCACTCATCTCTGGCAACATACCAGAATACTTACTGTGTTAACATATCAGTGGTACAAATGAGGAAACTAAGGCTCAGAGAAGTTATATAAGTTGGTATCCCACTTTTTGTTTTTTATTTGAAACAGGGTCTTATGTAGCCTAGCATGGCTTAGGACTCACAGAGATGCCCCTGCCCCTAGGCTGTGAAGGTTACACTAGTGCTGTGCAAACAGTAGGGTATGGTGAAGTGGTGGTCTGCATCTCAGTCCCTTCTTGTGGTAAGATTGTTCTCAAAGCCTTGGGATGACAGCAATCTGCCCCCCCCCCCCCCCCCCCCCCCCCCGCCACTGCCATATGTCCTGACTCCTGGGCTGCTCTGCTGGCTGGGGAGGAGACTGGCTGGAGGGCCTGCCTGTCTGTGCTGCCACTTGTCCCTCTTTGGATGCCACATGAAAGCACTCAGGGTTAGGTATGTAAGAGAGCACAGACTCCAGGGGTGTACCAGTAAACCCCGCAGTTTTACTGGTAAAAACAGGGCTGTGTTCTCTAATCCAGCTTTGCCAGAACAAAATTGTGTTTGGGTCCCCTCTGTCCTTGGTGTCTACTCTCAGTCAGTTCTGGAATACCAGGTTATAATAGATACTTCACAAATCACAAAGGCTATTGGTAGGGGAGGCTCAAGAGTTCAGCTTACCGCTGTGGGGGCCCAGTCCTGGCCATACACAAAGCAGTACTTGCAGTAGAGGTCGTCATACTCTGGAAACTACGAGAAAAGTATATGGGATTCTGTTTACAGGGTGCAAACAGCCACACACACTGGCTAGGCAGGTGCAGCCAGTAGGAATTCTGAACATGAGGCACCCAGGGTGAAGGATGTGGACGTGGACTTTGGCAGGGGCTGGGGATTCAGGTGAGGGAGTGTGAGGCCTGCCACATACTTCTGGGCCTTTGCTCAGGCTTTGCCTTCTGTCTGCCGTCCTTCCCATTCCATGATCTGGCAAGCTCCTTGCCCAAACTTTATAACTCTTTTAGTCAGCTTGTTCTGATTCCTTGGCTGGCTTGATGGCTTGGCCCCTTCAGCCTCTGTTTCCCTTCATCAGAGCACCCAATGCCAATGTCTGACAACCCATTGGACTTAAGAAGGAACGGGTTTCATGCTTCCGTGTGCACCCAGTGGTGGGCACTGATCTACAGGAAGCCAGAGGGACACCGAGCAGTTGCACTGCAACAGCTGAGGGCCTCGAAAGAGGGAGGGCACAGAGCAGAAGAAGATGCTCAGAACACCGAGCCCAGCCAGGAGCCCTCCAGTGAGACAGAGAAAAGGGGTAAGACGCAGTACTCTGATGAACCAGGAAGGCAGAAGTACCTACCGAGTTTCAGGCCTGGTAGAACCTCACAGTAACGTTGGTTTAACAACACAAGCAACAAACCCCCCTGAAAGAACAGTACAGCGAGTTTTACTGCCAGGCAGACCTGGGTTCGAATTCCATCATGGCCACTGCCGTCTACTAAGTTTTCTTAGCTGTAAAGTGGACAGCTGAGCCTTCACTCCCATTGCTCCCTTCCAAGCCAGAGGCCACAGGCAATGAGGAGTGTAACTTTGGTACCGGCTCAACGTCCCAAGATCTGCTTTCACAACCTCGGCTGCAGATTCCCAGCTAACCCAGAAACTCGGGGCAATGGCTTTCCGGGGGACGCGATCCGGGGGGACGGGCCGGCCCCAGGCCGGGTCCACGGCCGCTCACCTGAGCACTCTCCACCTGCCCGTTAACCATGAGCAGGAATACGCTGGGACTCGCCGCCGCCATGGCGCTGGGTCCCGGGAGACACCCGCAGGCTGCGCGCTGTTGCTGAGGCTGCCGGGTTACCTTGGAAAAAGACGGCGTGGCGCCTGGGACATACTTCTTCTCCTTGGCCCTTGCGGGTAATGAAGCGCTGGAGCAGTGTTGTCGATGGGGGCGGGGCTCCGCGCCCACCTTCTTTGGCCGCTAGCCCTCCGGCAGTGCGGAACCTAACCCCGCGGCGGGTCGTAGGACCCGCCTGGACTGTGGGTGACCACGGCCGGCCTTGCCAGGCTGGACCCGTGCAGGCGGGAGAGCTGGGTGGTGGGAAAGCCACGTGCTTTGACACCCATCGCCACGAGGTGGCGCTGTGGTCACACGCGGAGGAACGCCTAAGCGCCTCAGTGGCTGGAGCTGCTGGGCAGGATGCTCAGAGAGGGACCCCTAAGCCAATCGGCTGCCTGCATCTTGTGCAGGGACCCGCCCTTGTAGCGTTTGAGCCCCCCTTCCCGCGAGAATCCTCTAGTCCTAGCCACCCCACCTGCATGTTAAGCTGTGGTCCACAGAGGGGCAAGCACCCCGCACACCAGCAACTCAGAGCTCAGCGTTCCTGGCCACTCAGGGTGAGCCACCAGCACCCTTCCCCAGGAGATTTAGCTTCTGTCAGCACCTTGATCCAGCTGCTCTTAGTCCCGTCATTGTCCTAGGCCTAATGCTAGCCTCTGCCACTAGACACCCCAGCTTCATAAGTTCAGGCGCCGCCAGTGTCCCATCCGACTTTCCGGGCACATAGTAAACACCTGAGAGCTACTTACATGAATAATTGAATACGTCTCCATTTTCTAGGGGCACACAGTAAACACCCGAGAGTTACTCGCATGAATAATTGAATACATCTCCATTATCTGGAGGAAGAGACTGAGATTCAGATTCAGAGGGTGACTTGGACACATTCATAACAGCAGTTTTTCAGCAGAGGCAGGCTTCAAAGGCAGAACTTAACAAGGGGACATTAGCGTCCTTATCTCAAATCAAAGAAATAAAGAGATGCACGGAGGTGTAGATTTCAGGAAGCCCATGGACTCCAGGACGTCACACCCTGTATACCTGCAACCCACTAGCTGCTAGCTTGGGAGTAAGGGGTTCCTGTAGCCACATGTGGGGAAGAGGGAAGGTGTGGTTGCGGCCCACCCTGGGTCCCTGAAGCTCGCTCCCGACCAAAAGTGGGCCAGAATACCTGATGGGGAGGGGGACCGTGCAAAGCCAAGAAGCAGGATGGTTGGGGGCCTGAGTCCCAAGCTTTGTGTAGAGCAGGGAGGACCTGTCTACCTTCCCAGGGACTTGGTCCTAACTCCCTCTGTCTCGCTTAAATAGGCTCCTTCCAGTTAAAATGCGTTCTCTCACCACTACCAATCTCACCTATCTGTCCCCTCCCTGTGGCCGTTGCAAAATTAGTTTTCAATACAATGCTTATCAAATAAACAGGTGCTGTGGAACAGTTTTCTTCTGGTTGAAACATTCCCTCATTGGGGGAGGGGGTTGGGGGGGTCACTGGTCAGGATCACTTTCTGAGGTAAACAAAACAGTACATGTCTCTGAAAGTGGAAACTTGCAAGATTCTGGAAGGCTCTTCCCCAGGTTTATAGAAGGAGTAAACAATGGGCTGGAGAGATGGCTCAGTGGTTAAGAACACTGACTGTTCTTGCCGAAGACCCGGGTTTGAATCCCAGCACCCACATGGCAGCTAGCAACAGATTTCATGAGTCATACCCATATTGGGGTACACTTTTCCATGATGCAGCTGTGTTTACATCATCCTAGCTCCTCTAAGTAACCCCTCACCTATACTGTTAGTAACCCCAATAAAAACTCAGTGGCTTACCAAGTTGGACTCTGGTTCCCTTTTTGGAGCATTGTCTCCCCAGGAAAAGTCTCACACTGATGGGGAAAAAAATATGCTCATACATTTAATGTCACTTTAGTCCCACTACTCTGGAGGCAGATCTCTATAACACCACTATAAAGTGAGTACTGTGTCCTAAAGTATAGAAATCAGTCATAAAACAATATGGCTCGGTGTGGTAGGGCATGCCTTTAATCCCAGCACTCAGGAGGCAGAGGCACAGGGATCTCTGGGAATTCAAGGCCATCCTGGTCTACATAGAGAATTCCAGGCCAGCTGGGACTACAGGGAGACCCTGTCTCAAAAAGAGAAACAAATAAACAAAAACAATATTACACACACACACACACACACACACACACACACACACACACAACCTTGCACAGAAAGATTTTGAAGAGGGGAAACTGTTAATGTCTCTGTAGTAGTCCTAGCCTCCATAGTGAAAGAAAACAATCATAGATATTGTCCTAGTTTGATTCTCCATTGCTGTGACAAAACACCCTGACCAATACCAACTTGGGGAGAAAAGGGTTTATTCAGTTTACATCTCACAGGTCACAGTTCATCAGGGAGTCCAAGGTAGGAGCCCAGGGAAGGAACCTAGAGGCAGGAGCTGGAGCACAGGCCATGGAGGAATGCTGCTTACTGGCTTGCTCCCCTGGCCCATGCTTAGCCTGCTTTCTTACACAAAATAGGCCCAACTTCCCAGGGGTGGCATCACCCACAGTGGGCTGGACCCTCCCACATCACTCAACAATCAAGAGATTTCCCCCACAGACATGGCCACAGGCTGGTCCAATGGAGGCAATTCCCCAATTGGGGCTCCCTTAACCCATGTCTGTCAAGTTGACACTAAAGCTATCCACTAAAGATATCAAGGTGGCTATTTTCATGTCTGGGATACAAATATGTGGATGACTCCAATAAAAACCTGTTTAAGCCAGAGGGTCCCCTCATGCTAGGAACAATAAAACCATACTCTTTTTAAATTTTTTTCATGTTTTATTATTTTTATTTTATGTGTATGTGTGTATTGCCTGCATGTAGGTAAGTGCACCCATTTCATGCAATGACCTCGGAGGACAGAAGAGACTGTTGGATCCCTGAACTGGAGTTACAGACAGTTGTTAGCTGCCATGTGGGTGCTGGGATTCGAACCCGGGTCTTCTACAAGAACAACCAGTGTTCTTAACCACTGAGCCATCTCTCCAGCCCCCAAAATCATACTCTTTTAATCCTGGTCATGTTCAATATCTAGGATGGGTCCCTCCTGACTTATGTCAGAATATTGCTGTTCTTAATCCATCATACTGATTTGGTGTTAAGGGCCAGGAACATATACTGGGCAGCCCTAATGGCACCCAGCAACTCTGTGGCACTAACCTTTGGACCTGGCTACCCCCAGGATGGATTAGCAGATATACTGTACAATTTCCTTGGATTCAGGGAAGACAATTAAAAGTTCTAGATCATGCTGCCTTTAAAAAAAAACAAAACTCATCAGTCTAGAAGATGTCACTTTGCATATTGCAACTCTCACTAAATATATTCAAAAGGCTCTAAATGACACAGCCCAGGAATTTACCCCCTCAAGATTGTGTGTGTGTGTGCGCACGCGTGTGTGTGTGTGTGTGTGTGTGTGTGAATGTATGTGCAGAGGCCAGAAGAGGGTGTCAGAGTCTCTGGAGCTAGAGTTACAGGTGGTCGTGAGTGCCCCAACATAGGTGTTGGGAACAAAACTTGGGTCCTCTGGAAGAACAAGAAGCACTCTTAACTGCTGAGCTGTCTCTCCAGCCTTGGAATTTCCTTCTTAATTCTGAAGTTCATTATACAAAACCGTATGGCCTTAGATATCTGCATGGCATCCCAGGGTGGCACTTGTGCCGTTCTCAAGGTTGAATGCTGTTCTGTTAATGTCTCATCTGCTTTATAAGAGCTACAAAAACAGATTCAGACCATGTTTGACAGTGCATGCCATTTAGATGAACAGCTCTGGAAAGGGATTCTGGATCTTCATGGTGGAACTGGGTTATGTCTGTTATAATCTTTTAAAAAATATATTTAAAAAATTTTTTATTATTTTTATGTGCATGAGTATATTGTCTGCATGTATGTGAGTGCACCTGTGTCCTTCAATGCTGCAGAAGTCAGAAGAAGGTGTCAGATTCCCTTGGAACTGGAGTTAAGGATGGTTCATAGCTGCCATGTGGGTGCTAGGAATCAAACCCAGGTCCTCTGCAAGAGCAGTCAGTGCTCTTAACTGCTGAGTCATCTCTCCAGCCCCATCTGTTTTAATCTTTGTAGCAATCCTGTTAATCTTTGGACCTTGTGTACTCAACTGATTTTTAACTTCATCTCTTCTTGTTTACAGTCTAGCCACACTTAGATGGTCCTAACATTCTAACTTCATCTACATGGGTTCCCTTGATCACTGTCCAAGGTCTGAAAGTCTACAAGAGTGGGAACCTGAAGAATGCCCCGTGTCCCCTGACTTCTCTTGCTTCAACTGTGCCCAAACCCCTACATCTCTATCCAGGAGCCCAAAGATCTTCTTCCCTTGCTATACCTGGCAGCTATATGAATTGAACCAGTGATGCCCTTCTGGGGTCATTTAGATAGGTCCACTGGAGGGGCACAATGACTCCATTCAGTCTGAAAAAGCCAGATCAGTCTTTGCCCTAATTCCCCAATGGTATTTAGGGTTACCTCTTTGTAGGGGGCAATGGTGAGAACAGGAGCTAGAAACTGGCTATGCAGATTTAGTGTAAAAAGACCCTGAAAAGTGACCAGTTTCTTTCTTACCTAAAAGTCAGAAATGTTCTTGGACCTGTCATAGCCTCATCCTAGCCAGAAACCAGAGGAGCTAGAAGTGTTTATGCCAAAATGCCTCTGATTCTGCCCTGGCCAGAGGCCGTGATGCCAGAAGAGGGTCTTTGTTTTCCTCAGTGTTTTCCACTAAAGAGTATTCCTTTCCTGGAAACCAGTGTGGGTAAGATTGAAATTGCAAAGGCATCTGAACACCCAGAATGAGAACTGGACTGACCAGTTCACCACCCCCATTCCTCCATCCAGAAAAGCCTTATTAACTCCAAGACAATGACACCCCAATATTTGGGGCTGGAGAGATTAAGAACACTGACTGTTCTTACGGAAGACCCAGGATCAAATCCCAGCACCCACATGGCAACTAACAACTGTCCATAACTCCAGTTCCAGGGGATCTGACAGTCTCTTCTGTCCTCCACGGGCATTGCACAGCACAGGTGCACTTACCTACATGCAGGCAATACACACATACATATAAAATAAAAATAATAAATAAAAATTTAAAAAATATACCCCAATATTCTCATATCATTTCACTAGACATAAATTGTATATGGAAAAGTCCTGGAAGTTAGTTTACTGTGCATGAAGTGCCTGTGTATGT